CTGGTGACCTTTTTGGCCCCCTGGGCACCCTCTGGGTGACCTCCAGCCAGCTGCCAACCAGTGCCCCCCAGTCCCTTTCTGCTGGACTTCTCCCTTCCCACCCTGGGCACCAGGAGCAGGTTGGGTGAAGCCGCCTCAGCGGCTCCTCTCCCAGCCTGGGCTCTCTCCTCCTGTCTGACAGGTGCTGGTGTTCGTGCACTCCAGGAAGGAGACTGGGAAGACTGCCCGGGCCATCAGGGACATGTGCCTGGAGAAGGACACCCTGGGGCTCTTCCTGAGGGAGGGCTCAGCCTCCACCGAGGTCCTCAGGACAGAAGCCGAGCAGTGCAAGGTACCCCCCCCTGTGGCAGCACAGCCCATCCCTGGCAGCCTTGAGGATCCCAAAACCTCTTGGGCTGCTTTTTCTCCTTGGTGTTCTTGCCCAGCTTGGGTGGCAAACACCTGGAGCTGGTCGTGTTTGTGGTGCAGAACCTGGAGCTGAAGGATCTCCTGCCCTACGGCTTCGCCATCCACCACGCGGGGATGACCCGGGTGGACCGCACGCTGGTGGAAGATCTCTTTGCTGACAAGCACATCCAGGTGAGGGTTTGTGCCACACCTCCACCTTTCCCCAGGCTGGGGACTTCACAACAAGCTCTTGGGGACTTCACAACAAGTTCTTGAGGGGTTTGCCAGCAGCAATTTGGGCGAGATGGGGAAGATCCAGCACGGCCAGTCCCCACCCTGCTCTGCTGAGGCTGGTGTCTGGTGAAGAGTCTTGATTTTTGTGTCACAAATAGGAAGTAAAAGCTCCTGGCCAGGAGCAGAGAGGGCAAGAGCTTCTCTCCTAGACCTGGTGGAGTGGTTAAAGCTGGAGGTCTGTCCCAGAGCAGGTTGGCACCTCCACAGTCACCACTTGCACAAAAACTCCTGCAAGAAGTTTCCTGACTGCATTCTAGACTCGTGGAATTGTTTAGGTTGGAAAAGGCCTTTGAGCTTCAGTCCAACCTTTAACCCAGCCCTGCCAGGGAGCACCCCCCCGTGTCCCTCACCCCACAGCTCCACGGCTTGGGAACCCCTCCCGGGGTGGGGACTCCACCACTGCCCTGGGCAGCCTGGCACAGCCCTGGGCAACCCTCCAGGGCAAGAAATTGTTCCTCAGGGACACCCCCAACCTCCCCTGCGGCAACTTGAGGCTGTTGCCTCTTGTCCTGTCACTTGGGGAGCAGAGCCCACCCCCCGCCTGGCTCCAGGCTCCTTGCAGGAGCTGTGCAGAGCCAGAAGGTCTCCCCTGAGCCTCCTTTGCTCCAGGCTCAGCACCCCCAGCTCCCTCAGCTGCTCCTCCCCCCACTTGGCCTCTAGACCCTTCCCCAGCAGCTCCGTTGCCCTTCTCTGCCCACGCTCCAGCCCCTCAATGTCACTCCTGGGCATGAGGGACCGAAAAGTGACTCCAGGACGTGAGCAGCCTCCTCCCTAGTGCCAAATCAGCTCTAAATGGAAGGCAAAGGATTTTCTCAGGGTTGTGCAGCGAGCTGGGAAATTCAGGCAAAGATCTGGCTGTTTGTCTGACCATCCTCTGCTGAGCTGTGGCGACCATCCCAGTTCTTGATCTTTGTCCCTGTTGTCTCTAGCATCAGGACCAGCATCTCAGGCTGGTTTTTCTCCTCAGGAAGAGGCTCTGATGGCTGTTTTGCCCTTGCAGGTGCTGGTCTCCACAGCCACGCTGGCCTGGGGGGTGAACCTCCCTGCTCACACTGTCATCATCAAGGGAACACAGGTTTACAGCCCTGAGAAGGGCCGTTGGACCGAGCTGGGCGCCCTTGACATCCTGCAGGTAAAAGTTGGGGTCCCAAGGTGCTGCCAGCACCCAGGGCAGGATTTTGCCTTTCCCCCTGAGGCACATTTGAGGTCTGTGCTCTCCGAGGGCCTGTTCTCTGCTGTGGGATCTCTCTGCTGTCCCAGGAGCAGCCCTGCTGCTGAGGGCAGAGGAGAAGCAGATGGTTCTTCCCCTCATCTTTTGCCCCAGCCACATCTGAGCTATTTTTCTGTGTCTCCTCCCCAGCCAGAAGCAGCAGCAAGCTGGCAGTGAACCCCCAGGATGTGGCAGCAAGGAGAAAGTGCCAAGTAAAAAGCATTTTAAGCTTTGCTGACCCTCCCTTTTTGTTTTCTCAGATGCTGGGTCGTGCTGGGAGGCCTCAGTATGACACCAAAGGTGAGGGGATCCTCATCACCTCCCACGGTGAGCTCCAGTACTACCTGTCCCTGCTCAACCAGCAGCTCCCCATCGAAAGCCAGATGGTGTCAAAGCTCCCAGACATGCTGAATGCAGAGGCTGTGCTTGGCAACGTCCAGAATGCAAAGGCAAGTCCAGCTCTTTGCTTTCCCCACCTTCCTCTGCCCACCCAGAGAGCTGGTGGGACCTGCAGAGGCCAAAGGATGGCCTAGGTGGGTGGGGAAAGATGTATGGAAGCAAAACTTGGAACCTTTGGTGCCTGGGAAGCAAGTTTGGAAGAGATTTGGAAGGAGAAGGCAAAAGGGGAAGTGATTCTGCCCTGAGGATGGGCTGAGGGCACTGGGGTTGTTCAGCCTGGAGAGAAGACTCCGGGGGGACCTTAGAGCTGCCTCCAAGCCCTGAAGGGAACCTCCAGGAAGGCTGGAGAGGGACTTGGCACAGAGTGAGCAGCGCCAGGACCAGGGGGGATGGTTTAAACTGGAGCAGAGGAGGTTTAGACTGGGCCTTAGGAAGAAGTTCTTCAGTGGGAGGGGGTCAGACTCTGGACTAGATTGCCCAGAGAGCTGTGGATGCCCCTCCCTGGAGGTGTTCAGGCAGGATGAGGCCTCGAGCATCCTGGTGTAGCTGAGAGGCTTCCAGGGAGGCTGAATTACATCCCTGGGGTCCCTCCCAACCTCAGCCATCCTACAGGTCTGTAACTCAGAGCCAAGTTCTCCACGTGGAGCAGGACACTGGGGAAAAGTTGGCATTTGGGGGGTGGTTTAATTCCTGGAGAAAACCCACAGGGTCCTGCTGAGCCCCTGAGCTCCGGCGACACCTCGGCGTGGCCGGAGGCAGCGGGGCTCCCCCTGAGGGGTCCTGGGGAGGGGTCTGACAGCAGCTCTGTGTCCCCCCCTCAGGATGCAGTGAACTGGTTGGGCTACACCTACCTGTACATCCGCATGCTGCGTTCCCCCACCCTCTATGGGATCTCCCACGAGGACCTGAAGGGGGATCCCCTGCTGGAGCAGCGCCGCCTGGACCTGGTGCACACCGCAGCCCTCATGCTGGACAAGAACAACCTGGTCAAGTACGACAAGAAAACTGGGAATTTCCAGGTGAGACAGGGCCTGGGGAGGTGCCAGGAGCAAGGGGAGAGGGGTGGGAGACTTCTCTGGCTGGCAGGCTCCAAGGGGCACCTTGCTGGTGGGAGGCAGGTCGCTGCGGACTCAGAGCTGCTGCTTTTGGGCATGGCTGGGGATCCAGGGGGCTGTCTGGGCATCCAGG